ACGTTCTCCTGACAGTGTGAAAGGCACAGTACCAAACACAGGGACTATTATTGTTGCGACTATTGTGCACATTTTCTTACAGAAAACCAACTTCAAAGACAACAAAATAATTCAACAATTTGCTTGTTTGAGGCCTGCTTCCAAATCTAAATGTATTGTAATGCTTTTCCGGGATTCCATTATAAGAATATTAATCCTTGCATTTGATATAGAATATATTATAATAATAATAATCCTTGCATTTGATATAGCGCTTTTCACGTCTTCTAGACGTCCCAAAGCGCTTCACAGAATATACTGTAAAGTGAATTGACTGTATATTTGTGGGCGAACGCGGCAGCCAATTGCGCACAGCAGTGTCCCACAAACAGTCGTAGATTGAAAATGACCGATTTATTATTGTTTTGTTTTTTTGGAGGGATTGTTATTAGGCTCTGTGTGGAGTAAGGAAACTTGCTCAAGGTTTCGCCCTCTGCCTGGAATTGAACTCAGGTCTCTCGCTTGCAAAGCGAGTGCTCTAACCACTGAGCTACAGAACTCCAATTGTAAAGTGGAGTGACCGTGTATTTTGTGAGTGAAACGCGGCAGTCAATTTCACACAGTAATTAGTTATAGAATCATAGAATTATACAGCACAGAAGGAGGCCATTTGGCCCATCGTGTCTGTGCTGGCTCTTTGAAAAGAGCTATCCAATTCAATCTCATTCCCCCGCTCTCTCCCCACAGCCGTGCAAACGTGTCCTTCCCAAGTAATTATCTACTTCTCTCTTAAAAGCTGCTATTGAATTGGCTTCCACCACCCTTTCAGGCAATGCATTCCAGATCCGAACAACTCTCTGTGTAAAAAAATTTCTTCTCATTTTCCCTCTTGAGTTATAACTTAACTCAACATAGTTCTGCAAAACACATGCCTCCTATGTAGGTGGGCAGGCAGCTTTGAATGTGTGTTTAAGAACCTTTATTCGAGGGGTTAAATATTAATTTTCAATTGTAACTTTGAATTACAAACCCTGTTTTGAAATGTGGTTCTTAAAGGAACTCACAGAATGTATGGCCGCTACAATTTACAATAAATCCCGTGAAGGGCTTTGAGACGTCCTCATGACGTGAAAACACATATAATACAGTGTAATACTACTACAGATAATCCTTGCATTTGATACATCGCCTTATCACGTAACGCCTGGCAGCGCGAAAGGATGAGAAAGCTTCCCTACTCCACACACCACTGTTTATCTAGCAGTAAGTAGGCACCCGGTTGTTGGTTGATTGGCGGATCACTTTTCCAGGGGTAATAATTCCTTCAAAAACATAATAAATTGTTCACTTCAATCCACGATTGTTTGTGGGACACTGCTGTACACAATTGTCTGCCGCATTTCACCCACAAAATACACAGTCGATTCATTTTACAGTATATTCTGTGAAGCGCTTTGAGACTTCTTGAAGACATGAAAAGGTGCTATATCAAATGCAAGGATTATTATTATTATTATTGAGGCATTTCAAAACACTTCACAGAATAAATTGAATTTTGTATTTTGTGGGCGAAAAGTGACAGCCAATTATGCACAGCAATGTCCCACAAACAGTCGTGGATTGAGTGACCAAATTATTATTTTTTTTGAAAGGATTATTATCCCCAGAAAGGGATCCAGCAATCGATTAACAACCAGGTTCCTACTTACTGCTACTAAATTGAGGCAAGGAAACGTGCCTAAGGTTTCGCCCTGCCCGGGAATCAAATCCGGGTCCTTTCGCTTGCGAGGCGAGCGCTCTAACCAATATGCTACTATACTCCAAATGCAAGGATTATTATTTTTTTAAAAAACCTTGAAGACTGTTCTCATGATCTGCAAAATTCTGGTGCTCTGAAATATTACTGTGAGTCTCAACACAGGTGGAATTTTTTTTACTGCAAGAACTATATGAGAAATTTTACATATGAATTATTTAAAAATACCGAATTTGCCCCATAGAGAATATTGAGGGGGGCGGGAGAGAGAGAGAAAGAGAGAGAGAGAGAGAGAGAGTAAGGGGCAGAAAAGTCTATCAGGTTTTAAACCCATTCTGGGAAACGCAGTCCAAACACAGTTAGGCCTGACATCACATTATTGAGTTAAACATGAATTAAATTAGTATATTTTTTGTTTTGCCCACAAAATCAATCCGCAGTCAATGCATAATAAAAATAATAATCCTTGCATTTGATATAGCATCTCATCAGGTCTTTGAGACGACTCAAACTCTTCACAGAATATACTGTAAAGTGGAGTGACTATATAATAATAATAATAATCCTTGCATTTGATATAGCGCTTTTCACGTCTTCTAGACATATCAAAGCGCTTCACAGAATATACTGTAAAGTGAATTGACCGTATATTTGTGGGCGAAAATGCGGCAGCCAATTGCACACAGCAGCGTCCCACAAACAGTCGTGGATTGAGTGACTATATTATTATTATTATTATTATCCACTATACAATGAGTAAAAGTTTTGTTCTGCCCACAAAATACAGTCAATTTACTTTACAGTATTTTCTGTGAAGCGCTTTGAGACGTCTCAACGACGTGATAAGACGCTGTGTCCAATGCAAAGATTATTATTATTCAAAGTGTGGTTAAAAGTGTTTCCTTTCTCCCCTGTAACATTTCTACTGAGAGGCACTATTTTCTGATTTTTGCTGGAAATCGAGAGAGACAGACAGACAGACAGACACAGACAGACAGACACAGACAGACTGACTGCATAGCACTAACAGCGCTAAACCCTTTAGTACATCATTTCAGTTCTAGCTTTGAATTACAAATGTGACAATTATTATTGTTATTTTTATTGATTTCTAAGGATTTGCAAAATTCTGCTTCTTTGCAAATATAATAAATTTAGAGCCGGTCGGGAATGATTTAACCCCGTTCCGTGCGCATCCCATCCCATCGCGCAAAATAATAGCCCTCGGAAGAGGATTCGTAAACGCTATTTTAAATGTGTTTTTTTTTGTAGGGAAAAAAAAGCAAAACAAAACAGCTGTTTTCTCCTATTTTCTCGTATTTAACGGCACAAAACTCTATTCGGGTCGACATTTCGGAGCGTTGTTTTTAAATTGCATTCAATTGTTAAAATAATTGACGTTCACTCGTCCAAAGGTTTAAATGATTTGAGGAATATTCGCTCTGTTTGATGGGAGGGACTGTGCCAGTTATATCTGTATTTGATAGACTATTATTTGTGTATATATATATGTGTGTGTGTGTGTGTGCAATGTATATATAATGTAATAAGGATTATTATGGATGTGAAAGCTCCTGTGTCTTGTCTACACCAGAACACAGTGAGATTGACCAGGTTTCAGGGGAGAGACTGGGTTAGGGCGACTACAGTAACATTAACAACCCTGAACACACTTAATCCTCTATTTAGCAATACATCTCACCGTGTTTCTCCTTTCTAAACTCTGCCTCGAGGTGGGAAAAAAACATTAAAACATCTCCCTTTACGATCTGTTCATAAAACCCAGGATTTAAATCGAATTATATATAATTCGGGGGCAGTTTCATTAGTTTGTACCATGTAAAATGATGTTTTATGTTTTGTTTAATAATGATTATTTTATATGTGTGTATATATATGTGTATATATATATTTGCTGTTGAATGCTCCCCTTGTCACTGTCTCAATTCCAAAATAACAGTTGGCCTTTATATTTATAATGTTTTTATTGAAACAAAATAAAATTCGTTGATCGTGTGTTTTTCATGATTTCATCTTGTTCTCCCCTCAGTTTTGATCCTCGCTGTTATACACCAGCGTTTATGTGAGCAATATAACTGTGTGTGCGACTGCATTTTAATTTAACATTAAAATATTATTGCATCGTCCACATCTCGGGCTCAAAACGCTTCACAAAATACAGCCTTTCCCATTACATGTCCATTACATTATCACAATAATATGGTTTAACTTCTATAATAATAATAATAATAAGGTTTAACTTCTATACTAATAATATGGTTTAACTTCTATGAAAAATGCGCACGGTGCGATATTTACATTTCAAATGATATTTTTGAATGCATATTTTTAGATAAATATATATATATAATTTTATTTTCGAGTCCATTTGACATTTGGGCTCAATTGTTACCTAAATAAAAACACTTATGTATTACACAACGCCTCCCCTTGTTTGATTAGATTTATAAGAAAATATATATTTGTAAAAAAAAATCCCCAATCTCTATTTTCAAATTAATTTAGAATTTGTGCGCAATTATGACCTAAATAAAAGCAATTCCCATGTTACACACATGACCTTATTTGATAGATGTTAAGTATATATATATATACACACACACAGTATTTATAACACTTTATTTTCAAAGGGATTTTTATAAAACCCATTTTTTCTCTGCAATTCCCCGTCTCCTTCTCCGTCCTTTAGGAATATGCTTTAGGAATAATACAAATAACTGTAATGATAATCCCTGCATTTGATGTAGCAGTTTATCACGTCGTAGAGACGTCTCGAAGCGCTTCACCACAATAATAATTTGGCCCCAAAAATACACAGTTACAACATCGTCTGAAGCGCTTTGAGACATCTCGTGCGACCCGATGAGGCCTCATATCAAATGCAATGATAATATTACTATTTCGGTAATATTATTTAATAATATTTATCTTTGACACATATACCTCACCTCCCGGAATAAAACACGCACACACATACATATATATATATACACACACACATATATATACACACACACACACACATATATATATATATACATACACACATATATATACGCATACATATATATATATACACACACACATATATATACATATACACATATATATACACACATACATATATACATACACACATGTATAAACACATACACATGTATACACACACATGTATATATACACACGCACAGACATACATATACATATACACACAGACACACACACACATCCACACAAGACTCACCTGTTAGCCTGTCTTTGGCGAAGCGCCTGCTGTTCTCCATCCAGGGGAAGGTTACAGTGGACAAGTTGGCCAGACTGCTAGTCATACTGGGCACAGTGGGCATCCCAGCCGAGAGGGGAGGGGGTGGGGGCATGGGTCTGTGTGCCGGCACTCTGATAACCCCAGAGCCAGCGTTCATATTCACATTCATATTAATGCTCATGTTAACGTTGAAGGAACTCGGCAGCCCAGCCATGCCACAAGCGTTACTGCCATAGGAGTTAATGCAGTGGGTATTGGCATGAGAGCCATAGGGGTGCGTCCCAAAGTGGTAATCCGTCTCAGGAGCTCTCTGACCCGGGTGCATGCAACAGCCAGGGTCGCTGGTGTTCAAGATCTGGTCGATACCGAAGCTGATGGGTTCGTGTTGAGGGTGAGTTTGGCTGATTTGCTCCATCGATGCATGATGCTCCATGTCTCTCTCACTCTCTCGGCTGCTTCAGTTTTATCTTCTTCTCTCTTGTTTGCCTTGTCTTCAATTTGTTAAATGTGTGGTTGAGTTTTTAGTATGAGTGTGTGTGGAGTTGGTAGACGGGTTGACAGAAACTCCCACCAAATAGTTACCTGACGCGTCCTTCTTTCGTTCTTTTTTATTTTCCTTCTTTTGTTCCTTCCTCTGTTCCAAAATGCGGAGTGCTTGTTTTATTGCAATCTTTACAACATTTCTTGCATTTTTTTAGAAAAAAAAATGTGTTATATGTGCGCGTGTGTGTGAGAAAACCACAAAAAAATGTAAACCCACGCTCCTCAAAATGACTGCTCTCCGCCCTCGCCAGCTGGGTCAATAAATAAAATATATGTTTATGTACGCACACGCACAGACACGCGTTTTTTTTGTAAAAAAAAAATAACATTAAGACAGCAGTTCTCCCCTTCCACGTTGCATTCGACTTTCTGCAGGTAACTGCGGGATTGGGCTGCGTGATTGACAGCTCGCCCTGGGACGCATCATCCGTCCCGCCCCCTCCACGCTGATTGGAGCGCACCTTTGACGGACACACGGATCCCTCAATCAGCGCGGCCGCCGCCGGTCCCATTCATAACTTTGCCTCCGCCCTATTCGCCCGCCAATCGCGGCATCTGGATCCTGATTGGCTCAGAGCGGCTTGGCTGCCTTTGATTGACAGGCGTTGCTCAGACACTGGACCTCGATTTTAGCAAAAAAAAACTACACAGAGAGAGAGGGGGAGAGAGAGAGATCAATAAAGAAGAAAAATGGTGTGCAATAAAAACACAGGGACGGTCCAAAAATAACACCGACACGCCGCGCTTTTCATTAGGCATTCATTTAAGAACTGCAATTTTTATGTTTGTGAATGGTTGCATGAGATTAAAAATTGCACACGAAATAATTCAGGCAGACAATCATTTTACAATCTGCACACACACACATACACACACACACGCACAGAAAGATATAGAAAGCTGCAATTTTTAAATTTTTCAAATGCTTTTATTTAAAAAATGCGCACAAAATAATTTCGACTTCATGTCGCAAATCATTAATTTGCAATCTACGCTCACCTGTATATTATATGTATGTATATGCAGAGAGAAAGAGAGAGAGAGAGAGAGAGATTAGTTATGTTGGATGTTGATGCAGAATTTATGCAACGTGTTAGCAAAGAAACGCGTATCTTAAATAATTGAGATGATGGGGGGGGTGGGGGTGGGGGGGTGGGGATGGGGGGAGAGAGAGAGAGCAAATGGGACGCTTCCCATTTTTTAGCCCAAAACGTGCTTTTAATTGCTAACCTCATGCCTCAGCTTTCAGAAGCGGTGGATGTGAGAGGTTTTGAAAAAGCAGGAGATATCCAGTGTAATTATTAGCATTGTAAATAAGTGCATGTAGGAAAAAACTGTGCAAATGGTTTGCCCATCTCCGCAGTGTGACAGGCTGGGTGAGTGCAGCAGTGATCTAATTCACATCGAATCTAGTTCATTTTACGAATCTATCAATTGTCGTTTCCTACAGAACTACATCGTTAAATAAATATCATTTGATGTTCCTGACGTCTAGAAACCCAACAATTAGTTTCCAACCACATTAAACTGCCAATTACAAAGGGGGATTATTATCATAATGAGAGGTTTAGCTATTTTATCTCTCTCTCTCTCTCTGTGGTTGGGGAGAGATTATTAATAGCTTTGCGTTTGCTTAAGGATTTTTTAAATATGTCACTTTTTATTCCAGTGCCTTTTTTTTAAACCAGATCCGTCTTTTATTTAATTGCTAATATTTTTTAAATGGAACGATTGTATTAACCTTTTATACAGTGAGGAGTAATATCTGTATTTAACCAGTGTTTTGCAAAAACTGTTTTTTTGTGGTTGTTATTATATTATCCATTTTTGAGAGGGGGGTGTCGGGGTTGAGGGGTGGGGGGGAACCTCACACCCCCTCACACCCCCCCTCACATCCCCCCACACACACCCTCACACCCCCCCTCACACCCCCTCACGTCCCCACCCCCTTCACACCCCCTCACACCCCACCACCACACCCCCTCACACCCCCACCACCTCACCCCCCTCACACCCCACCACCACACCCCTCACACCCCACCACCACACCCCTCACACCCCCTCACCCCCACCACCCCCCAAAACCCCCCCTCACCCCACCACCATACCCCCTCACCCCACCACCATACCCCCTCACCCCCTCACCATACCCCACACCCTCACACACACCCTCACACCACCTCACCCCCTCATACCCCCCTCACCCACTCACACCCCCTCACCCCCACTCATCCCTTCACAACCCCTCACCCCCTCACAACCCCTCACTCCCTCACAAATCCCTACTCACCCCTTCACACCCCCTCACACCCCCTCACTCCCCTCCTCAGACCCCCTCCTCACACCCCCTCAAACCCAAACACAAATAGTACCTTTAAAAAGGGACATTTCGCCTTTCCTTGTAATATAAATACATAACTTTACAGAGGACAGTTTGGGTTTCTACATATTTTTTATTTAATTTGTATATTTCGCTCACAAAATATATAGTCAATTCATTTTTCAGTATATCATGTGAAGCGCTTTGAGACGTCTGAACAACGTGATAAGGCGCTATATCAAATGCAAGGATTTTTAAAATTAATTTGTTATATAAAGTGAAACCCACTTATAGATGGAATCAATATCTTGCATCTAAATAGTATAGCACATAAGCATATATCCTATCGTTTTATATAGAGCGACAGGGTATGGAAACAGGTGTAGAATACATATTTATGTATTTTATAGTCTATTTTATAATGACAATCTTTGTATTTGATATAACGCCTTATCACGACACTGAGACGCCTCAAAGGGCTTCAGAGATAACAATAATATTAATAGAATATTTATAATTTATATATTACATTCGCCTACAAAAACACAGTTTAATCCTGTAAAAGACTTTGAGACGTTTGGAAGAGTGATAAGACTTTAAATCAAATACAAGGATAATTGCTTTATAACAGCACACGTACAAAACATTATATATAAAAGCAGGCGCATATTTATAGATGAGTGCAATAAATATATTTTTTAAAACTCGTATATTTTACTGAGCATAAAATATTTCCATATATTTCCATATTTTATATAACAATGGATTGAGATGATATTGAATCTTGCAGTAAATGTAACAAATGGCATTTATATAGTCAGGAGGACGTCTCACATACACATATATAATAAATATAGATCGGATCCTTGTATAACAATCCACCAAACTCAGAAACAGAACTGGGGGCAGAGGGAACGCCGTCATTTCTGATTGCGATGAATTTGCGCTGTTTTATTGCAAGTTTCGAAGTTGTTCCGCTAAAATCCGCTTCAACCTTCGCTGCTGAATGTGCGTTCAGTTTGTTTCCCACAGCGGAATCCTTTGGGGCTGAGGGAGAGATGTACCTACAATGGGAATATTACTGTTAGGTTATCACGGTTTATATCACTCTGTGGAGGTGGGTGTTGATGGTTTTCCGGGACGGTCGGTCAGGGCAGTAACACTGCCACGTTACACAGCAATTGATATTACTTTTCTTATGTCTGAACTTCCTAAAATACCTCTACTTTCTGTAAGAGGTTTATATTTTTCACCAGATATGTTGCCAAACCATCAGTCTTGTTAACAGGCCTCGTTGCATCAATGCTTATATGAGCTATGGTATATCGTAGGAACTATTATATATTTCCTATAAGACATTTCTTATCAGAATAATAATATCACTATTATACGAAATATATCGATCTACAAATTGAATGCGAACATATGTGACAATGTAAATCAATTTGCTATACATTTCCTATAATAGTAGGACGTTTATTATTATTATTGTTACAGGAAATGATCGATATGTTTCCTATAATAATAACGTATATTTATCATTATTATAACAGGCAATTATTTTAAGTGAACGTTTTAGTGGTCAACTCTCCTCTCTCCACCGATCCTTTCCAATTGGGCGCTCTCAATTCCTCTCTGTGTTTCTGTCTGTCTGTGTTTCTGTCTGTGTTTCTGTCTGTGTTTCTGTCTGTGTTTCTGTCTGTGTTTCTGTCTGTCTGTCTGTCTGTCTGTCTGTCTGTCTGTCTGTCTGTCTGTCTGTCTGTCTGTTTGTTTGTCTGTCTGTCTGTCTGTTTGTCTGTCTGTCTGTCTGTCTGTCTGTCTGTCTGTTTGTCTGTCTCCCCCCATTACCTGTATTTCTGAGCCACGGGTAGCAATCTCTTTGATACTGTTGTTATTATTATTATTGTTATTAAATAAAAGTTCCTTCGTGTCAACTCTCCGTTTGAGAACAGAAAACTGCATCTAAAACGATTTGGTGAAGGAGAAATTTCGCCCCAAGTTGCTGAATTTAACCCTTACCAATGACAAACTGTCTCCCCACAGAGAAACACGGGGATAAAAAGTCCCACTTGTTATGATTATCATTGATAATATTAGCTATAACTCACATTCATTCATATACAGTCAATACACTTTACAGTATATTCTGTGAAGCGCTTTGAGACGTCTCTAAGACGTGATAAGGCGCTGTATCCAACGCAATGATCATTTTATTAGTATTAACACTGTACACAACGCCTTTACAGATAAAGCACAAACTTCCTATTTAGTCGTCAGATATATAAAGATCAGAAATAAAAATGACTCTTAATTGTAGGTCAGACAACTGAAGCGAAATCAGTATTTTTTGTCTTATTTTGGATTGTTTACATATTTCATTTAAGAAAAAAAAATGACTTGGAAAAACTCAAAACAACAACGGGAAGTCAGGTAAATTGGTTGCAAGAGATCCAATTGGAAACGACCCCAGTTTAATATGATTTAACAGGAAGATTTCCAATGCATTTTCTTAACAATCAGGAATGTTTTGTAAACTGCACCCAAGATTCAACTTGCTAAGATCTGAAATGAATCGTTCAAAATAACTTCTGCATTAAGGGAATGGAATACAAGGGACCAAATAAAATAAAACAGATGTAAAGTTCGATGCATTTAACCCGTCTGTATCTCTGTGTGAGATACGACACGCTGTTTAATTTAAATTGCAGCCGAATAGGTTACAAAACACATTTATTTATATATGTATTTCATTGCCATCAAAACCTGCGTTCTACGCTCTTAACTCTCTCTGGATAATTGTGAGCCTGAATCAATCGCAAAACAAGACGACATTATATAAAATGCATCACTTTTCAAGGTTA